GGTTTTGTTTTGTTTTTTTTAGTACTGTCAGGGTACTAATAATTAGCCCACATGTTTCTTCATACTCTTACATAAAGCTACAGCACTGAATATACTGAAGAATTTTTACTTTTTCTTTTGCAACTGCTGCTTTCTATACAAGTAGCCTGACTAGACCGTTACAACAGAGTAATTCTTCTGCTGTAATAATACTGATGAGTTTTCACTTGTAGATTTCATTTATTAGCAACACAACTAATACCAGTATTCAAGTTCCTAGCTCTAGTCCTTCTGATAGTCAGGAATACATAATACTTGGGAGCCATCAGATAGTCAGTGGAGAAAGTTGTCCCGTAGCAGAACAATTTCAGCTACCTAATGGGATTGTATCAACAAGAGGAATCAGACTTACCTTGAAGATGCACAAAAAAACAACAGAAACAAGTTGCAACATGGGAAATTGTTGTTAGCTTTAAGGAAAACTCTTTACCAAGAGGATGATCATAGCTACTGAAGACATAGAAATTCCTTCCTTGGAGAAATCTGAAGCTTAACCAGACAAGACTCTAAGCAACCTGATTTACTTGGCCTTGCTTTAAGTTAGGGTTAGGGAGTTGGACTAAAAAACCTCCAGAGGTCTTTTCAAATGTAAATTACTCTCTAATCTTGGAATCACTGAAGTCTACTGCCTGAAGTGGCCTGGAGCAGAGTACTGTCTTCATGCCTCAGTGTTCATGATGATTTAGTGAATGAACTTGCCACCCAAGTTTTACAGGGACCTGCATCAGTGATGCTGTGGTCTTGATTCTTGCTCTTCAGTGGCTGCTCATGCCCCTTCCTCTACTCTATTCTCCCTTGTGTTTCCTGGCTGGGCATTCCCACACAATCTAGTTTTGGAAATCTAGGCCTTTCTGTGCTGTTGGCTGACTGAAACTGTATTAGTTACATTTTGATTGATAGCCTTCTTTGCAGCTTTGATGGCTGAAGCTCCTTCCCTTGGGAGGACCTCAGTCCATAATGAAAAATAGCAGTCTCTAGGTGAAAGACTGGCATGCCAAATTGAAGACATGCCATGTTCCTGCCCGTTTCCTCTATACTAGAGTAAGAAACCTTGTAGGAGAGATGTACAGTAACTTCAGTAGCTGTTTCTCAATTTTATTGCAGGTTTTGGAGAAGGTGGATGTAGAGCAGAAAATGAGCATTCGATTTCTTCACTGATGGATGGAGAACCTATTCCTTTCTACTCCGACTATGTAATGAATAGAACTTCATTTTATCCTTAGCACCATCCCCCAGAGCATTGCTACTGGTGCATATACAATACATCTCCAACCCCTCCCTGATTTGTTCTACCAATGTGAACATTCCCTGTGCATCAGGAACAAAGGGAAATGGCTGCTGTGCAACTTGGAAAAGGAGCTTTTTTTAATGTTTTCCTTCGTGGTTTTTTTACCCTTTCTCTTGTCTCTTTCTTCACTACTGTTTCAGTAAAAATGTCTCTCCTTTTGCACTGCTGCGTAATCTACAAACTGATTCTTCTGAGCTCTGAATCTGAAAACGGAAAAACGGGAACATGCCACAGAAGTGCCCTCTGAAACATTTCGGAGACAAGCATCTACTCAAATACTAGGTGCAGTGATAATGATCCACTTTTGCCACATGACAGCTGCCTTTTTTTTTTTTTTTTTACCCTTTCCTGTTTGGCTCTTTACATACAGATTTGTTTCTTCACTGCTTCTAAATCTGCCTTTTACTTGAGGACTTCTCAATTTATATGGCTTCATTGTATAACTAGCACTGAATGCATGATGATAGTCTAGAGTACTTTAAGGTACTGTGAATAGACTTTATTGTTTGTGGAATTAATTCATAGGGACAGTGGGAGAATCTGTGGTGGAGACAGGCTGTGGTGTTCCCGAAAGGAATAGGAATTCTGTACTAAGTCACTTAAACTGTTCCAGTAGCAGATGCAGAAACTTGTTTCTTTTTTTTTTGAGTAGCTTTCAGGCTTGACAGCCAGTGGCCCGTGAAGTGTCCTCTACAGATTTCTTTCTTCTAGGATCCCTCCTTTCCTAAGGGTGGTTTTGCTTCTGAAAGTGTAAAGTTGTTGACCAGTGTACATAATACAAGAAAACTAGTCGTGCCAAAATCTGGATTTGTAGTTCTGCCACTGCCCCCGATAACAGTGTCATGAAACATGAAATCATGAAACTGATTTCATGGGGTTTTTTTTCCCAATTAGAGTGGCATGGATAATCAGTATTTATGTTTTCCAGTATGAAAGTTCTGGTCTGTTAGATTTGTGTTGAGGATGGGTAGCTGTATTTAGGAAAACTAGCATCAGAATACAATTTGGGGTAGTACATATTATCCCAAATATTTCAGAATGTATTTCTATGCAAATCTCTTTGCAAGTGTAAGGTGATTAATACTATGAATAGAATGCTGATAAATTCAAGAGATCTAAATTTTTGAAGGTTTAATACTAACAATTTTCTGTGGCTAGATTGACAAATGATGTCATGTAGTTTCATCTGGAACATTCCACAGTCTGGGAGGTCCTTCCAATAAAACCAAAAAAACCCTGGGAGCTTCTTTATTGAAGAATCTGTGTTATAACTGCTTCTCTGTTATGTGCTAACATTTCTATAAATACTTACCAGTCTCAAACTACTCTCAAATGTGCATTTCCTTTTTTCTCAGTTCCTTTAATCATCACTTTTGTTAAAGAATAACTTGCAAGTCTCTGACAGATTTTTGGTTTGTTTTAAATTAAGGAATTCAAAAGTAAAATGTTGCACTTCATTCTTTTGCAGAGTGCAGCACAATTCCAGAAAGAAATGTAAATTAAAAACCTCTGCCTTGTATGAGGAAGAAACACTATAGTTTTATAACCATGTAATGTAAAATAGGAATGTAACAATGTTAATGGATTGAAAAGTGAAAAGTGCTTGTAGGCTTTGTGATTTGCTTGAATGTAGGTGTTGCTTTTTTCAGGCTCTATAGTGATAACCTACAGTTGTGCCTTATTGTCCTAGTGAGACTGGATATTGTATTTATCAGTCCATAAATAAACCTTCCACTGTATAAAAAAACCAAAACCAAAACAAAACAATACACACACAAAAAAACCCAGACCCTAACTATTCCTGTAACTGATTACCCTTTAATGACTACAAAAATTAAATACCAGTAGAATGGTGCTAGCAGGCCTTACAGATCAGTTTCTTGTAACCGAGCTTGTTTTCAGAGTATTAATAGTTCTTTATTCTGCTGACAAAGTGGAGGAAACCAGTGCAAAACATGAGCTCCAGAAGAGGACATGCACTCATAACCTGCACTATGGATCCCACAACAATATGAGCTTTACACCTCCCCGTGGTTCCAAATTAGACTTTTTGTTTGGGTTATTTTTTCCCTCCCCATAATTGTTGTAGTGTTGTTCTAATTAAAGGGTATATAATACCAATGCTGTTTTTTCTGACATCTGTCTTTATAAGCCCCCACTTCAGATGTCAAGTATTTTTGCTAATGTGCTTGAGGTGAACACAAATGCTCTGACAGATTCACTGAAAAAAAAAAAAAAAACAAAACAATCAAAGCAAAGACCAGCTAACCTTCCTGCAATAAACAAAAAGACACCCAACTATCAGAATCTAACTTTGCCATTAGCAGAATAAATCACATGTAAGCCACTATCTTACTTAACGTTCTGAAATCTGTATATTAAACATGTAACTTAAAAGGTTGTTGACAGTAGGAGGAGTTTTCCAGAGCTGAGTTCTTAAATTTGTTCAAAACTAAGCTGTACAGATACAAGCAGATTTCCACAAAAGTAGTATTTTTAGCATAGTTTGTTGCTTGTAGAAATATATTCAGTCATCTTGAGAACAAAGGTTGGTTGTGAAGGTGAAAGTCTGGAAGAGGGGTAAGATTAGCAGCTCAGAGGCAGAGTACTTAGTATTCCATCTTTGTCCTTTGGAAAAGCAGTATAAGGGATAGGAGTGTAAGTACAGATGAACGATTCTCCAGTCTGCTGGCAGATAGAAAGTCTATTTTCAATTCTGCAGACATGAGTTTGCCATGTTGAGAATCTCTGGATGGTTGATGCAGAAATCTGTGGCTGAGAACAGTTACCGGGGTATTATGGAGACTGTGGAAAGCCAAAATAGGTTCAATGTCTCATCAATACTGAAAGGTGGCAAATGAGTTTGCTTAAATAGCTGTAGGCCCTTTAGCTTGGCATCAAATCTGGGCAAAGCAAAAGAATCCAAAATCAGGATTTGACTCACGAAGAACAAGACTGAAAATTATGTTAGTTTCTGTAACTTTACAGTAGAAAATAAAAGTCTGCTTTTGATTCTTTGAAACTACAGCTGTGGTTGTAAGTAGCATGTGGGTATAATACTTAAGTTGGCAGAAGCATTTCATTTAGGCTGATGGTCTGCACTAAAATGTGACACGGGAGAACAGTGTGTGTTAAATGTTTAACGCACGTGTTAAGATTTCAAGTAAAATGGCTTGTAGTAATCTGTGATGAATCACGGTGAGACGGGGGTGTTTCTCGAGGGTTTTCTGAATGGGTACGTACTCCACACTCTTCATTCACCCGTCAGCTTGAAGTGCAAAGCTACCGCTGCTAAAAAGAAACCCACCGGGTTTTTGCAGGTGCCGCAAACCCGGCAGAAGGATCAGAGGGCTGGGTGAGCGCGGGGGTACCCCGGGACCGGCACCCACGAGTGACACCGAGGCACCGCGCGCGCCGCCCCGCCCCGCCCCCTGGCGGCCGCTTCGCGTGCCCGCCGAGGTCACCGCGGGACTCGCCCCGGGCCAGCCCCGCTCGCGCCGCTCCAGCCAATCCCAGGCCCTTGCCCTTCCCGGGGCCAATCAGAGAGGGAAGCTTTGGAGGCGGGAGGCCGGTCTCAATGATGGACGGCGCCGCTGACCAATCCGCGCCGAAGCCGGACGGCTGATGCATGGGCGCGGCACCCAATAGGCTCGCGGCCGAGGGGGCGGGCCCTGGCGGCGCGAGCCCCCGCCGGGCGGCCGGGGAAGGAGGGGAAGATGGCGGAGTGAGGGGCGGAGGAGGCGGAGGGGCCGGGCCGCCCGCGGCCCCGCGGCCTCGGCCGCGCTCAGGTGAGTGCAGCGGGAGCAGCGGCCTGCCCGGCCCGGACCCTGGCGCCGGCTCCCTGATGGGGCTGGGGCCGGGCGCCCGCGCACCCGCCTCCCCGTCCCGCCCCGTGATGGGGCTGGGCCCGTGCTCGTTCCGCGGGCTGGGCCGAGCGGTGGGAGCGGCTGCCCGCCCTCGCCGCGCCGGCCCCGGGCGAGGAGCGGGACGGTGTCCGGGCGGGCGCCTATGCGGAACCGGGCCGGTCCGACCCGCCCGCCGCCCTGAAAAGTCCGGGCAACTTCGGAGCTGGGGGCGAAGGTGTCCTGCAGGTCTGGCAGCAGATGGCCGGGCGGCAGAGCCTGTGCCCTGCACAGCCGTGCCCCGCAGCCCGGCTGGGAACAGCTGGCAGCAGTGTGGGGAAGGGAAAACGAAATGTATCATCGAAATGAGCCTTTGCATCTCCGGCTGCAAACGTAGTGCTGATTAGAGCTACTCCGCTGTTAGTGTTGCGGTCCGTGTGCTGGGTGGATTCTGCTGATCTGAACGGTCATATCCTTTTCTGATGTCTCTAGTGCTGACACAGGAGCGCACAAAGGGGATGGTGTCCGAGTCATTAGACAAAACCAGAACGTACGAATAATCCACAGTGCAAAACAAGTTTTATGGAAAGTGGAGAGATTACAATGGAATTTGTTTAGCCTTATGAATTCATGTGATAATAAGGTGAAAAAGACTTAAGACACGATGAAACCTGTGAAAGTATTACTGAAACCACTGGCTCTTCAGGTTAGTGTCATGCGGGTCAGCGGCGCCCTGAATTGTTCAAAATTGTCCGTGGCATTTTGTGCTACAGGACGTACTTTGTTTAAATTAAAAAAAAAAAAAAAAGGAGGGTGGGGACAAAACTTCTTACTGAAAGCAAAAGAATTAGTGTCACTAACATGAAATTCCCCATGTTCTTTACTGAAAGCAGTTCTTTAAATCTCTAGTTTGTCAGAATTGTGACTGCGTTTTCAATGTGCGTGGCAGGTAAAGTAAAGAATTGAAGTGGTTACATGAAAAAATTGCTTTAGGTCTTGTGAAGACATGGTGTGTTAGCTTGTATGACCTAATAATGAACTAGTTCTTTGTAAGTGGCGAAATAACTCAAAAGAAATATAAGCATGTTTGTTACAATTAGTTCTGAAAGCAATAGCTACTTGTGAGAAAAGTTTCCAAAGGAACATTTTACCAATTTTCATGTGCTGCATTACTCATGTAGTAACAGTAATAGCAGTTTAGGAGCAACATAACAGTAAGGCACAGGATGCTGTTCCTGATGAATATTCTTACTTATACATGTGTGTGTATGAATTATTAAAGTATGCCAGGGGATTTGCCTTTGGCATACTGCATATAAAGATATGTATGGCTTTATATTACCATTAAAAGAATAATAACCAATCAGCTTGCTTTTGTATGAAGTTGTATGCTATTTTAGCAGTGAGAAATAGATTTGGATTAATATTTATTTTTAATTACTTTCAATGCACAAGAGCTGTGAGAAGTAGTATCTTAAAAAGAATAACATTAGGGTTTTCTGTTACCCTGTTATATGTCAAATCAGCAATATGCACTGCTTTACAATCTTGCCCACAGTGCTGAGAGTCTGCAGTGTGAAAATCTGCATGAACAGGCTCTGCACCTCACGGTCACCTGTCATTCAGGGGCATCAAAAATCGTGGGCCAGTTAAGGCTAAAAAAACCTGACCCGAGTCTGTGAAGAGTCTGGAGTATCTTTTGCATGCCTCCCACGTTCATTCTTAAAAACTAGAAAAGGAACAGTGCTTGAAACCAGACCTGACATGCTGGAGGTTACGTGAGTGCAAGGTGCAAAGGCCTGCGCAATCTTTGGAGATTTAAGAAAAGGAGAGGATTTCTCTAAAATAGAATGTGAAGGAAGAGTTGTTTCTTTGCCTGAGCAGTATTCCAGGAGCACATTCCTATAATGTGTCATGGAATTGAAAGCTCATCTTTAAACAGTCTTCCGTATGTTCTGTGCTGCGGTAGGAAATGCTGTTACAACGCTGTACCAATAATGTGGCAGATATCAACTGGAAACCTTGTGGAAGGTGGTTTCATTTAAAAGTACAGAGTGGAACAAATCTCAGGCAGAATGTTTGCAGTGCCTGAGACATCTCTACAGCTGCCAAGCGCCATAGCAGGGGTGTGTAAGCTGTGCATTCAACAGTCTTTCAGTCTGTGTTGACAAGGGGCAGCAGCTGGCAGCTCCTTCCTGTCTTCTGGCCTCTTCCTAGGCTGGCAGCCTTTCTAGGCTTCAGATATGCCTTTGTTTACTCTTTTGGAGATGACTTTGGTTTCTGACTCTGGATTATCAGTTTCTTTGTCTCAAAATCTGTGTGTCTTCTGAAATTGCTGGGGGATGTTCTGGGGTCTTGATGGCCTGGTAACTTGGGTGCTGTAAACACAAGTGCCTTTTGAGAGCCCAGTTCCTGCTCAGTGTTCCTTTTGGTGCCTCCACACTCAGGCACTCCCGTTCTTTCTCCAATCACATCAGTCTTAGGCTTTCTATCACAGTTGTTGCCCTTACCTCATAGATTTGATTTAGAAGCCATTTCAAAGTTATCTAGTAAGTAGAAAGAGCATGAAGGCATGTAATTTTTTTTTGCAGGACTGTGAGATACTTCTGTTGTATTTTGTGTTTATGATTTAAGCTTTTGTCATTGTCAGATTTCCAGGTTACATTTGACATTTTTAAGCCATAAGAAAGACCTCAGTGAACTTGTGATCTATAGTGCTGATTTTGCTTTCTATATCTCTACATGTCTCTGTCATACTTAACTTTCAAGTTCTTGTGTTTTGGTCTTTATATAAACTGATTTCTAGATCTTTTCTTCCTTACACACTTCTCAGGCTGTACAGAAGAGAAGAGAAATTGTCTTCTGTGTTCTTGTTAATTCTGCTTATGTCCTGGAACATTTGTGTATGTGTAAGAGACAAAGGTACTATTTTGGAAAGCTGGGTCTGATGAATCTGAGTTTTTGCTGAACAATGTAATTAAACCTAAGAGTACCTTAAAACAGAGTGTGAGGGATGGAGTGAAAGTTGGTTGTATAGATGCACACTATTATTTTAGTATAGTTTCCAATTCCAAAGCACTGATTATGTCAGAACACTCGCTTTTTTCCCCACACTTTTACATTGGTAATAGAGTATTTTGATATATATTAAAAGACAAGTGTTACAATTTTGCTGGTAAATTTATATTGAGATATTTCTTCATCTCTTTTTGGCTTTGAAATTCCTAAAGTTAGTTGACTGCATCCAAGAAGTTCTCTATCTGAATGTGAGATATAAAATTCATGGAGACTAACCTTTAGTTATGGTAGAACAAAAAAATATGAATGGGCAGTAGGTGAAAACTTAATAAAAATAATATTTTCTGAAATTTTAACAGAAAAGGATTAATATAGGTAATGTTAAGTTTTTACATTATTTCTTGTTCCATATCTATTGGTTGTGCATTCAGTAAGGTGTGAAACAAGAAAAATAGTATTTTTTAATTTGTAATGTCCACTAGCTTTTATTTGAAGATTTGGTATTGTCGACATCAGTTTCAATGTCTACTAATGGTCAATAACCTTGATTTATATCCAGTAGCATCTGTGCATTCTCTTGGTACTACTGTGAAATCAGCTCCCATGTGGTAATCTATGAAAGTCAGCTAGAAAGTACAGCAAGCAGGGTAGGTAAAAACTGGGGCATTCAAAGTTGATGAAGTTGTAAAAATAAAATTTTAAAAAATAGGTTAAAGCCAGTGAAATTCAGTGTTGGATGAACCATTCCTTTGCATGACAAGTGTCACCTACTGCTTTTTTTTAAAATGAGATTTACTTTAGTTTAGTTGATTTATAGTTTTAGAATAAGTGAAAGAAAATCCAACTTTTCAAAGATTGCATTGGTTTCTATTATGACAAGGAAATTTGGGAGAGCTCTTGAGCTTCTTCTCAAATTAATTCTTTTGTGAATCATTTGCTGTTGGTTCCTCAGTCTCAAACTCACGTAGTGCTTGAGGGAGGATTTGAGTAGGAAGAGTCAGCATTGACAACATGAGAATAACTACGCTAAAACGGGGATTTTCTGATGACTGTGGTTTTTTTGAAGGTGCAGGTGTCTGGTGCTTGTAGAAATGCTGTGTTATGCAGGAGTGTGAAAGCTAGTAATACTTAACTGAGGATATTGGGAATTTTTAATAATGTATGTCTGTGTGATGAGATAGTTCTGCTTGTGGCAATCCATTGTTCCTTCAGTTAGGTTGTCAGCTGTGTCCTTGAGAGCAGTCATTACTCTTCCATGCTGCAGTGATTTGTTATTAACATGAAAAAGCTTCTTGCTTTACTGGAGACTAAACTGTGTCCATCTCAATTCCTTTGAATCTGAAATGTGTGTCTGTTGATGATACCTTACCATAACAAGATTTATCTTCAAAATATGCACAATTAAAAAGCTGTTCTGGTCATGGTGTATACTTAATGCTCCAGGTGTACTTGGTCAAGCATGGGCTGTAGTCTGTTCTCAGTAAAGTAGGAACCAACAAATTCCAGGGAAAAAGGGAATTCTGTGGCGAGAAAACTACATGGAATGAACGGCACACATGATTTTACTCCAGGAAGCAGAACGGTCTCTGAACAAAACCCTTTCAGGCATGTTTTGGATATATGCTTCTCCTCCCCACTCTGTTCTTAGTTAAAGTTTTCCTGTCCTGGGTCTTCCATACTTGGGCCCAATTCTCTTGACTTAAACTAAAGGAGGGGTGTGGATATGGTAATTTGAAAATTAACATTGGCATATTTTATGTGGAAAGTCTAAAATCGTTAACTGGTTTGTGGAAGATACAGGTAATCTTTTGTGTCTTTTGCAGATAATCATCTATGATCTCAATAACTTCCTAAATGCAAATTTAATTTTGTTTATTCATCTCTTTCTCTCTAAGCTCCCAGAAGAGATTGTGGATTGATTAAAAATAACGGTGAGTACAATTGTAAGGTCATTTAGGTAGTAAATATAATGTACTAAACTTGTCAAGTTTGTTGGTTGATTCAGTTTCATTTTCCCTGACCAAAGAAATATGTCACTGAGATTTTAGTTTTTTGTAGCGTACTTTCTGAGAACTGGAATGTTGCCACAGTGTCAGCTTTCAGCTTGACCTTTGTGTGCAAGAAGCAATGATTTAACTATTATATATTCTAATAAGAATAAATACTTTTAAAATTATAAAATTCCTGTCCTGTGATGTCATTTGCTATGAAGCACTAATTGTGTCATGGTATTAACTTGAAGTAGTTATGGTAAAAGTTTTATTTGTTAAACAGTAGGATTGGAAGAATGATAACATAATCAAATGTAAATTATCAAATAGAAAAAAGTACATTCAAAATGTCTAAAGATGACAGTAAACTTCTGGAGCTTCGATTTATTTTTTTTCCCAGTGAATCAAATTAAGATATTTTGGTATTTAAGGTGTGTAACAGAGTACTATATTCTATTCTCAGCTCTGCTATGAACCTTTGGCATGTTTTGTTGCAGCTTTCCAGATCTGTTTTTCCACATCTTCATAACAAGAATAAGACTTTCCCAACAGTGTGAGCATGGATGGTCAACAAAATGATCAGCAGAAGTATTTGAGTGCCTCAGAGAGAAAGAGATGGTGATATGTACTGTATTTCCATTTTCATGATCTTCTTGCTGCTTCTAACGTAGGAGCTGAAAATTGTCAGTGGAAGACTTTCTGAATTCGATCAACCAAGTGGTTAAGGTAATTAGAATAACATAAGTACAGACAGGGAAAGGAGAGGAAGAGGTTAGTTGTCCTCATGTTCTTGTATGTGAGAAAAAGAAACCAAAGAAAAATATTCTATTTCACATCTCTCCTTTTAGCACAGGAGAATGGTAATAAACATTTCTGGCACTATCTGTGCAGGAGTGCACCCATGTTACCTTCCAACTTAAAAAAAAACATCGTGTCTTAAGAGCCGCCGTGACTAGGTGATACCAGGTGAGTGTCACTGATGAAAGGCCAGGACATCAGTGACAAGTTGTTGAAGTTTGTGCTGTAGATAAGTGGGGAGAAATGAGTAAAAGTAAGTATTTAATGTGTATGATCTTAAAATTGTTGTAAATGCTTTTTTCCTCTACAGCACTGACAGTTTCATAACTAGTTAGGTGATAGTTCAGGATGTGTCTTTGAACTGTGACTTGCTAGAGCAGAATATACTCTCTCTCTGCAGTATGCTTTCTGGTGCTTCCTCAACGTAGTCATGCTGTATGTTGAAGACACAGTTAAGAAGCCCCACAGCTAATTAACAGTGGTATATTTCTGGATGCATTGCTTCTCAGTAAGTGTATAGTTCAGCACTTCTGAAGTATTTCCTTAGCCAGCTTGTGGACATCTACAGTTAGATATTAAGTCCTAGAGAGCAAGGGATTAATGCAGTTTGTGAAGCCAGCTAATTTTGTCAGGCTTTTAAAGTAATGAACTGATGGGCATTTTAATGTTGAATATATTTTATTCTGATTCCTAAACTACCTTTCCTGTTTTTTTAGTTTGGGATTCTAGATCCTATCCTGACATCAAGAAGGTGGTCCTGTTACCTGCTCACAGACTGCAAGATGTGGATGTTTCTCTTCTAGCAAGCAAAAACCTGTCCTTCACTTCCATGGAGCTGAATGAACAAAGATCTGTCCAGTTTCAGTCATGTCACCAAACATTTGGTTCACCAGATGGTTTCTCCTACAGAAGTACCCCCACTGTTTTATCAAAATTCAAAAGCAGAGTAACAGAAATCAGCATTTGGTTTCCTGAAGAAATGTCTTCTGTGCCAGCTCTTCAAACAGCTTTCTCCATTCTGTTTTAAAATGAGAAATGCTTTGTAATCAGATGCAAGTGGAAGCTGGTGTTCTTCACTGATATTTCCTTCTTCATTTTAGGAAGGTTTGGTACTTTGCTGTGTCATATTGGATTTCCTAGCAGATAAAGTGTCTGCATGCATTACTGTGTCAGACTCACTTGACATATATGAAAAGTTGCAGCAGGAAAAATTGCTCTGACATGAGGAGGAAACTTACCAAACAACTGGGGACATCCCATACAGGTATTTTCTAGTCCAGGACCCAGGCTTGACTTTGTAGATAGATGTCAAATCACATAAAGCAGCTAATGCAAGAACAAGAACAAATGCAGAATCACCTTGTCTGTAGTGTGTAAATGCATTATCCCAGTCTGTGATCAAAATGTATATTTGCATGTGTAAACCTATGTAAGTGCTGGATATGAAGAGGTTTCAACAGAAGGAGAAATCACCCTGCACCATTTAACTTTTAGCAAAGAAAAATGAAGCTTTAAAGCCTTGAGGGTAACAAGATAATGATTAGCTTTACGTTAAATCATTCCCTCCCTCTGGCTTTTTGTGAATTCTTAGCAGCGAAAGGAACAAAACCATTCTACTGTAGAAGAAATAGGGCAGAACATGTTTCTTTATTATAGAAATTAACTTCAGGTGAGATGAAGGAGACCACAAGTGTAAAGTTGTGGTTTATCCACCTGGCTTCCTTGACACAGTTTCAGCTTTTCATACTGCTGATGGAATCAGCTTTCTGATTCTTTCGTGACTGAGAACTGAGAGGACCTGTAGATTTTCATTATCTAGGCAGAAATAGGCTGAAGAGAATGGAATGTTAGCCATGTAAGGGGGTAAGTCGAGGTACAGCAAAAATACTTAGGATGGGCCTTTTTCTGGCTCTTCTCATTCCTTCCCAAACTAAGGCACAATCTGTTGTTCTTATGTTTACACGAGATTCTTTGTCTACATCATTTGTGCTTATATAGGATGTTTTCTGTCATTTTGAGATGGGAGCATATATTGTTTACGTGCTCCCTGCTATGGTATTGTTTATGGCAAGTAAGATTTCTTGGCAAAAAAACACCAGACCTGGGATGTGTATTGTATTCCACTTCAAATCTGAAGCTTTTCTTAGTGCACCTTATTCCAAGCTTGTGATTTAGAAAATGTGACTTACTAGCTTAAAATAATGTTTTCAAATCTGGATAAGATAAGGATATATAGCTTCTATTAATATGTTTTGGGAGATACTAAAATGGTTGAGGAGATGTTCCAGATTTCTTGTTTTGTTCTGTTTTGCCTTTTAGAAAACTGCTGGAGAGAGCCAAACAGCCTGAAAATGGCTGAAAAAGCAAACAATGGAAATCCTTCTTAAATCTTAATGACAGCTTGTAAGGGCAGCATTCTAATATTTAAAGTGTGGTGATATTTTATGGGACCAAGTTCCATAGCAGAGTGAGGACAAGTGTTGATGTTGATCCTGATCTTCGTAGTAACGTCTGTGTTTAGACATGCCTTGTAACAATAAGGTTTAGTGACAGCTTTACCCATTTTTTGTTCCCATGAAGAAAAGAGCAGATGTGTTAGCTAAAGGACGGGGGGCAAGACACTGTGTCTCAAAATAATGCCAACTGTAATGAGCAGACAGGTGCACTAAAATTGTGTCCAGCACTGTGCTGAGCTCTGCGATAAGAGTTAACATTAATCTTGAGGCAACCATCAGCTTGGTCTGACTTTTAAGAGCATAGGATTTCTTTGCTGAATATGGTCTGAATTTTCTGGCATTGGAGGCAACTAGAAAAGCACACTTCCTTTTAGGGCGTCCTTATGTTGAAGCCAATAGGATTTAATGTAGATGTCTGTAGAAGCAGGATCCATCTCTAAGTGATGGAAAACACTGTCAATATCATAGGATTATAAATCGTTGGGAAGTATCTGGTATAAGAAATGTCTCATTTTAGATCTGGGAATTTTCTTTTTTTCCTACTGCCCATACTTACCCTTCTGCTATTAGAGCTAGCAGTTGTTTCTTGCATAGCTTGATGACAAAATACTTGGGGAACAGGAAGGTATTTTTGTTTTCTGTGGACATGTACAGAAATTGCAAATTTGTCTGCCTACAGAGTAGACACTTCAAGCTCTTCAATTTCTTTTTCTTTAGGAATAACACTTAATGTTTTGTAACCCACATTGTAACAAAAAAAAAGAAAAAATTGTTGATTTCTCCTGAATCTTATTGATGACAATGTATCAGCTTTAGTTTTCAAGTTTAATTTCAGAACATCAAGATTTTATTAGGCTAATGATCTGTGGTTTTCACAGAAGTAATATTGCAATAGTGCATGTCCAGAAGACCCCAATTGCTGTACCTTCCTGGCCAGCACTTTTATAAAACTGCTGTGTTAGGAAATGCTGCTTCAGCCTACTTACTTTTTCTTGCTCCACTTTTTCTCTGTGTTGGTTGGAAATCTTCCCATGTGAAAGATTACAAAAACAAGGGGCACGTGCAATAAATCATATATATATATACATATATATATTTTAATACTTGTGGACAAAATGATGTTACAAGTTGTTTGAAAACAACAAAATCACCAATGTCTTCCATTTTGAGATGTGTATAGTTCCATAAGCATTAGTGCTTTGTAGCAAACTGTAGTGCCATGTTAGGATCAATGCATGAGCCTAGTAGTATTTTTACAATTTCAGAGTGACAAATTTATTAGTAAACAGTGATGATAATGTAATTAACACTAGAAAGGATACAATAGAAATGTCACAAACATGGTCTAAACATGCAGTATCCTCCCTTTGACAATGGCAATGCTATCCTTAAAACTGGAACGCATTAACTTAATGGGCTTCATAGAATCATAGTTGACTTTTTGTTATTTGTCTGTCTGTCCAACGGCAATAGTAAGCTAGAGTATGCAAGCGTCCATCTCTATCGGTGGGATTCTTTTTAGTCTTTGTTGGTGTTTTCTTCCATGTGCAGCATTTTCAATTTTATTATTAGCCATCCCATTATATACTCAGAAAAGTATGAATATGCTAAGGAGTTTGTGTGCATTCTGTACACATCTCTGTTACCTTCAGATCATTTGCAAAATCTGTGGATCAAGTAATTTTTTTTTCAGACTGACTATATGATTATTATAGCTAGTTAAACATTATCCTCATTATGTGATAAGTTAATAGTTGCAAAATGCGATGTAGAAGACTTTTATCCATTATTGCAGGAATGGGGAACCTTTTTTGGCTGAAGTCCTATTGAATTTTACAATAACTTTGGTGGATCCTGCATTTACATACATCTTAGTGTTAATAAGAATAAAGAATATAATAAGGTCAAAGGCTGTTGAAAAATGATGTTGCAGACTGTATCTGTACAGCAGACGATCTCTAGCCAGTGGATCAGAGATTCCCCACCCCTGTATTGTTGAGAATTCACTATCCTGTATTTTAGATAACTTCCAGTTTTGCTTTCCAGCTCTTGAGCTCAATTTTAATAATTTCTGTTTCTCCCTCTGCTTTTCTCAGAAGGAAGGTTTAGACCGGGGAAGTCAAAATGACTCAATGGGCAGCTTGGACTGGTCAAATAGAGGACTGGCATTATTCTTGAGATGTGCAATGCTCTGTGGATGGCATCCTCTGATTTCCTAGGAATAAGTCTTTTATTTGGTGCCAGTGTTGCTTTTCACCCATTTTCTCTCTTTTACAAGAACAAAATTTTCTTTCAACTTAGAGAGGATACTGCATCTTTTTTTCCTGAGACCTGCCTGTAAATGGCCATTAGGGGGAGGGAGGGAACGGGTACTTGGTTTTGTATTTTGGTACAATGTCTCTAAAGTAATTAATCAAGAAGCATGTACTTCTGTGCAATGGCAGTAATCCATGCAGAGTTGATGTATGTAACAGGGAAAAAAAACCCAACAAAACCAAACTGACAAGCCTCTGCATCTAATATATTTCCAAGAAAATTGGACAGATGGGCCATTTACAGCAGAGCTCTGGGGGACCTGTGCTGAAAGTCAGGTTCAATTCTAAATGGAAGTAGCTGTACCATTGAATAAAGTAGTTAGTTTTAATGCTTGGGAGAATCAATTGAAAAATACCTCTGAAACTGGAATGCAAAATAGCACAGTATGTAGGGGGAAGAATCCCTGATGCAAACAAAGCCATAAGATGATTTAATAAGAAAATAGAACTTTAGTAGCAATAACTGTTTTGCATGTGATAGTAAATAACTTGCAAATTAGCAAGACTGTACAGTAGAGTAAGTGGGTAATAACCAAATAAGTTTGTGGCGCTCTGTGCTGCAGGGAGTTGTGTGAAGAGTCTTCCTGAGAAGAAAGGTAAATTCTTCTTATGTTCCTCTCATTGGAGGGAATTTGGCACTTGAATACAAAGTTAATGAATTTGATACATATATATAAAAAAGAAAAATTAGCTTTGTCACATCTGAAGCACTGTCAATGAGTGCTAGGGGAAGGGCAGACAGTTCTTTTTGAAAGGATAGCTGAAGTTTCCCTGTATTTTTTTTCTTTTTAGTAGTCTAGCACTTGCTCTATTTCTCTGAGAAGAAACTGAACCTTTCCAGATGTTGGACTGTAAAGAGAACCTGATTCTGAAGTTAGAGCTTTTATTGTGTGAAGTCTTTTCTGCTCTTTTTTTTTTTTTTTTTTTTTTTTTGGTTGGTTGGTTGTGGTTTTTTTTTTGTTTGTTTTTGTTTAAAAAGGCCAATCTGAGATGGTCTTTAAATAAATAAAAAACAAACTAAAAAAATTAGAGAGCACTTGACACTCAAAATGTTTGTACATGCCAGGCACAACTGTAGAATTCTAAAAATGTTACTTTACAGCAGGAAATAATTTTAACCTTGCTAAACACTGTTTCAGACCATGGTTGATTTCTGTCGATGCCGGAAGTTTTGCAGGGGCAAGTACTGTGAAGCCTCTGGTAACACAAAGGGTTATTGATCTCCAGCTGTAGCCTCTGCACCCAGCTAAGTATTTGCTGTCAAAGGGTTACATAAAAGAGCCACAGGAATTCTAAAGCATTCCTAGTTGACGCTATTTTCGGTCTATAGAGACAATATGGCCCAACAGATAATAATGTATTCTGAACAGAATTATTTCACCAGCGGCTTACATCTATCCGGCTGGATTTCTTCTGGAAAGCTAAAGTAATTTAGGCTGTGACTTACAGCTGAATGGAAGCTTGTGGTTTTGAAAGCATGGATGTGAAGCAGTTTGGCTCTTCAGAAATTGATAATGGAACTGTGACAGCTGTGAGCATTTTTAGTGTATAAAGTAACAAGCATGAGAATGTCTAAATTAAGTGTTGGCTAGTATGTAATATGCATATGAAAAGCTAATTGATCTGGAAGGCTGTAATCAGTATAAATTCCAGCTATTGAATTATTGATAAAATTGGAAGCTGGCCAAAGGGGACCTTAATTTGATTGTTATCTGATTACATTAGAGAAATTATAAATTTATTCTGGTCTGTGATCAGCAAGTACATTTACATAAAGTGAAATAATGAAAACACAGTCACGTTGATACTTCAGAATTATGAACTTTGTAGTGGAACAGAATTCTTTAAGGCTATATCCGTTCAGAGAGGGGGAGAGGAAATCAAGACTGATGTAGCCAGGCAAGCTATCTGCATATTCTTCCCAGTTCAGGCTTTTTATAATGATCTGTATTCTATGGGCTACTAGACTAGAAATTACTATTCACAGCAAGAAAAGGAATCCCTTTGCCTTTCAGCTCTTGTACAGTGGCATGACTTTTCCTTCAACCTCCTTGATTTACCTGCTTCCAAACCTGAGTGGAAGTGTTAGATGCTACTACACTTTGGTGTGGGATATCAAAGGTGTAGTGACTGGTATGGACGTGCCTCCTTTAGCAGTACCAAACCCAGATGACACCAAGTATATGCTGTTTGCATATCCAGTAGTGCTGCTGCAGAGGGTCCAGCCAGTATGTGTGCAGGGAACTGCACTTTCAAGGATTGCACCTTTTGCAACTGAGGGTAATTGTCAAATTTAGGACAAAAAGAAAGTCTTGCAAAGACTTCTTGATAGTGAGTGAGAAGAAATTTTACTGAGCTTGAGATCACTGGCGCTTGGATTACATTATCAAGAGTTGGCAGCCTGCTTTTTTGGGCAGAAAAGGGAAAATTATTCAAGATAAGAACAGTTCTTGATTGATAACCAATCTTAGAAATTACCGCTTAGGAAACTGTCATCCTTAGGAAACTGTCTGGTCTTCCTCCAAAACTAATAATCGTGCTTGTTGTTCAGGTACAAAGCTGCATAATGGCAGTCCAAGTTAGATTCCACTGGATTTCTTTTACAGAACGATCCAGCATTTTGCCCCTGTAGCATTTTGACTGGCACACAAAAGCCAGCAGTTGAACCAGGGTGTCTTGTTTAACAGTGCAGAACACTAACCATGGATTCTGATGTCTGTTCCCTTTCAGTCTGCTCTTCACTTTCTCCTGAGATTTAGAGAAGGTGTCAGTGTTCATGATGTCAGCAGAGCGTGTTTCTGTCTCTTGAGCCTATGTGCCAGGTTATAATATAGACAGATTGCCAAGACTTTACACCACCTAAAGATAAAGATAAAAGGTAACTTACTGTTCAGTGTGTCCTATGTAAATCCTGTCTGCTTCTCTCCATTTCCCCTCCAAATGAGTGTGTTTGCAGGTCAAATAAAAGGAGGCTAGTTTGCAATGCCGTAGGCATGAAGAACTGCATGGAGAAACTGAAGGAAAGCGGCACAGGCCCACAAACCAAACCTTAGAGCTAGTATTCTAATTATGCATGATTCAAAATGTCTAGTGTAATGTAGTTATTACCAGTAAATTGAGATATGCATTTATACATAATGAAGCAATAGGAATTAATATACCAATAGCTTGAACTTCCTGCTTTGATTCTCAAATTTTGGGTTTTTTTAGAGAATGTGCTGCCTCTGTAGAGAAAGGGGCAGAATGTATAGATAGGGACAGAAGCATGGCACCAAAACTGTAAATCAGGAACTAGGATCAGCAGAACTCGCCTTTATAACCTCTCGTCTGGTTCATATTAGTGTCCTGAGCATGTAAAAAGCAGGGCATGAACTAAGCATGTTTAGGGGCGAGATGAGGTTTCTCACCTGCTGCAGCTGTAGCAAGGAAAAGGGTGCAGAGTTTCTTACAAGGTGCAGGGAGGAGCAACTGGTGGGAAAGAAGAAAAACAAAGCCACAAAACAACACAGAAAAACCCACCAACAAAAAGACAACAAACCTCCAAACCAACAAACAAGTAGCAGAAACCACTCAAGTTGAGTGTAGTATTTGCCAGACAGTAGGTAATGAGCTTGGATGTGGTGATAGAAATTATTTGGAGAAGACTGAAATTAATAAGCACAGTACATATTTTTCAGGTGTTGAATAGCTTTTTAATAGACAGTATTTTCAGGTAACTCTAGCCACATAGGCAGCTGTACTGAAGCATACTGGTACCAGCCAGCAATAATGGCACCTGCAGGAATGAACCTGAAAATACTGGTAATCTTGTATATTTTTTATGTTCTTTAAAGAGATTTTTAAAAACAGAAAATGAGGTTTGATCGCTGAAGGTCTTTATCTTCTGCAACACAGGTTGCAATTGTCTTTTTTCTTTATTTCACTTATTAAATAAAAGGGTATTTGGGTGCCATCTTTCTGTAAACTCTTAGTGTGTTCTCTGTAATATTCTGCAAATCTTAGTGGATAATGCAGTCAATTCTGCTGGCAGTTTGAAAATAAGAGAATGTGTGGCGTAACCTACATCACTAATACTTTTCCAAGTTTAAACTTGTAATTAAACATGTAGAATACTAGCTTGTTACTGCAGAATTCCATACTTCTAGCTTAGCTTAATTTTGTAAGTGGGCTTAACTTGTGCAGAACACTTCTCCATGTACAGAGGCTCAGTCCTCTTTCTTAAATAGAAAGAAGCGTCTTGGTGGAAGAAATTGTATGTCAAGTTAACTCCTATTCATACTTCATGGCCAACCATTCATGAAGCACCGTGATTTGGATTTAAAACAGGGGTTGCGTTTTTCTCATGAGTACTCCTTCTAGATAGATAAGAATTGCCAAACGAAGATAGGACTATTATGAGAGAAAATAACTATTTTATGGTATTAGAAATTAGACTAAAGGAAATCCTTTGAGCCAACTTCTTCAAGCAACAAGTAAATCTGTAAGACAAATTTAGCCCAGTGGTTAACCATGGTCATTCTTAAGTCTTTAGAACACTATGCATGGCTTTAAACACTGTCTTTTTTTTTGTTTTGTGATGAGTAAGCCATTGTATCCTTTGTATTTCGCTTCAGTATAACCTGAGGAAAAAGCTACTTTAGGATGTCAGTGAAGTTATCCTCCTTTTGGAAAGCATAACAGCAAAGGAGAAGTATTGAATATAAATTCTTTAAAATTACCTTAGTACTTAAAACAAGCTAGAAAATACTTAGACTGAACTTCTGATGGCATTCTTACATGGATTAGTGGAGGAAATTATTGGTGTAACTAGGAACTGTGTACTCCCATTGCACATGTTTTACATGGTAACAGAGAAAGAATGTCTCCCTGCAAATTCTGATGTTTTTCCAAAAGGCAGCTTGCTTTTATATCTATGCATCTTTGAGGATTTCAAGATAAGAATTTATTCTTTTGACACTGTAAAGAGGAACTGTTTAAAAATGAACTTGGAAACTCTGCACCTGTAAACAAATTTTTTTAGCAATAAAGCAGCACAGGCTGAGAATGCACTAATACTGGATGTGTCATCTGTTCAGAAGACAAATTAACCAACTGACTACACTCTACTTCTGAGGTGTTTGTACTTGCTGTATCTTTGTCAAAACTTAAAAATTTGAGCTGAACTGATACATGCTGAGTATCTGCTTTAGGGCCAGCTGTTCCAGCAGACTTCAAGCACGAGAGCCTCTGACTTGGAAGGCAACTAAACAAAAATTGTTATTATTCCACTCATAAGATGAGTAACTTACCAGTTAAAAGCTTCAAGGGTTGTTTCAGAGGGTAGCAGAACCCTATGTTGCCTGTAGAGATGGCCTAAAAGTAAAAAGCCTTTTATAGGTAGCTCTTTTATATACATGGATTGTTTATTGTTTTGATAACTACACATCTGAAAACTTTCTTCTGTGGTTGGCTTGTCACAACCTGCAGGGGGGCACAACTTTCCCTGCAGTTGCTGCTGCAAGCAGTGTTGGGAACTGCTGTAATGCAGCAGTAGGACACCACCTCGTCGGGACTACCGGAGAAGCGTTCCAACGCTGCCACAAGTTTTCCAAAATCTGTTATGGATTGCTGACCCTTCTGCTACCTTACGGAAGATTCGCAGTATGATTGTTACTTCGATAGCCTGTTCAACCACTGTTTCATTTTCTATTGGGTTTTATCTGTGGATGCCAGAGAAGACAGCTGCTGATTAGCTAACATAAGAAGGCCTGAGCTTGAGACTTGCTTTCTAAGTGGTTGTTATTTATTTAAACAGAGAATCCATCCCTTGCAAGCCAAACTGGCCCTGGCTGCACTGAAGGCTAGAACACATCTCAAGATGCCTAGGCACAGGAGATAAGACTCAACTCTAGAATAACAACATTTATTCACTGATCAATTTCAGATTAAAAGGAATTTGAATCCGGGACAGGCTGTGGGATCAAACGTTGAATCTTTCAGGAATAAGTTTATAAGCATCACTTAAATCAAAATGCATCCATAGGTTTAATTTGGTATCTCAGTACATGTTCATTTCAAATTACTGAAGATAATGTATTTATTTTATGCAGCTTGCATCTTAAAACAGAATTTACTTAGAGGTTCTCCCAGTTAAAAAGATTACAGAAATGTAGTTTAAAAAATTAACAGCTATTATTTAGCATATATTCATTATTTGTTTAAATTCATGCTAAGTAATATAATTTGAGGAACCATTCATTAAATGCTTTATAACAACCCAGAACCCAACCAAGACAAACTGATGTTTTTTTCTTGCAAACATAATCAAAGGAAAAGAAGTAGGCCTATGACTCCCATGATATTGGCAATGATTTGCACAATATGAATTTCTGAATGTCAGGGGTTTTTTTTATTTAAACAGTTTCTTTTTCACAACTGTAAATATAATATAAAAATGTAACTGACAGCTTTCTTTCCCTTTTAGGGATTGACACTTAGCCAGATGAAGCAAAGCTATTTAGCACAATTATACACAGTATATATAGACATAAAGTATATAGCAAGAAAGAGTCTCAATGCAGAAACTGAAATGAAAGGACAAAAGTGGGTAGTCTCATTATCAATCATGTTTCTTAGACTAAGGCAACAACAGAAGTGCTGTCACTTAGGAAGTACCACAAAGGTGAAGTTATACAGTGGAAAACATTTACCTGAGGTGGAAAGGTGCTTGCACATAGCATCACTGGAATTAAGCTGAGCAAGTAAATAGAATCCTCTCTAGCCTACTACAGACAACTACTAAACTTCCCATAAAATCTATCATCCCCTTAGGGACAAACATTAGCCCTTTAGGCAGCAAAAAGGAGAGGAAAAGGACCCTCAACCTTCCCAACAAGCAAGAAAGATACTCTGTCTCAGAAACAAAGGGTGAGTAGTGCTCCTTCTTTTCCATCAAATTATTTTCCAATGTTTGGAAATAAGCAGAACCCATTCAAAATAGAGAGAAATGCCAGTTAGGGTTTTTTTTATTAAATATCTTGACTGGCCAATTGAAGGCAGCAAGCAGATCATCACAACTCCAGCAGAGCAGTTCCCATGACTGAGCAGAAGTGAAGGAGAAGACAAGACTGTTCCATGGTTTCACAGTTTCAGCCCCAGAAAGAAATGCTCAAATCTGTTAAAGGCAGTTGCTCACAGCCTAAATGGACGTATTTGACTCGCTCCTGTGCAGTCATGGGGCTGCATTTCCAGAGGACTTGGCAGGTGCATGGTTGCCCTTTAACTGAAATTCAAAACCTTGTGCTCCAGCCTGCATTGTGCCATCCAGATTCAAGCAGTAAGAACAGTGTGCAGCATCTGTGACATGCTAGCCTGCCCTTTTTGCAGGCCACACATACAAGCAAATTTAAAAGAACTATTCAGGAGTACATTTAGCAGTGGTTTGCATATGAGATGTAGCCAATGAGCCACTTAACCAGCTGCCATTAACACCCAGGCTGCCATTAACACTGTATCTATATGAAAAGGTAGGACAAGAACTTTACACCTCTAAGAATGTTCAATTTATATTAGCTCCTCTTGAATACCACCTTATTAGTGTGTTTGTATAGCTCCAGAAACCTGACTTCAGTATTTCAAAGGCTGGTTTTCCCCCAAGAGAAAAAAAACGAAGTCACAGTTATACTGCCTCAGAGAGTGATGTGCTGCATGGGTGAGCTATTCAGTCTTCCAAGCATAACTTCAATATGTTGGGTTTTTAGGTGTTGCCCTGAAGGGATGCACTTAATCATCAGTTCTTTCCATACACAGATAAAGTGACAGATCAACAGTCAAACCTGATCTGGTGCATTATTTCACCACAATGAACAAACGCAGCAGAGATGCAGAAACAACTCCAGCAGTTCTTGCAAATGGCTACTAGTTGATCCTAACTCCTGCATATCCTGGTGGTAGGCCATCTGTATCTGATGCAGAGCTCTGCCATTGTGTTACATAATTACTTTGTTCCAGTTCCTTCAGCTTGTTCGTCAGCAACTCCATGCGAATGTGGAACTCCACAAGCTTTTCTTTCAGCTAGAAAAAAAGAGAAATAAGAGTATTAAAACTAGTGAAAAATGTCCTAACACTGGGTCTTTGAATGATCTGCATCGCACTTTCAGTGGCTCAAGAGCAGCTAGTTTTTAAGATGGAAAAATAGTGGGGCTTGAATCTTTATACTGCATGTCTAGCACAGACAAAACCAGCACTCAAATCATAGGTCTGCACTACAAACTGGAGATGGATGAATATGTGCCAGCATCAGCCCTTCCAGAGATGTAGGGAAACACTCTATTTAAGGAGATGGAGTTGCTGGAGTTTTACTATGATGAATCTGATCTTACCTGGTTAACTCATTACAAGTTTTCACACAACTGGAGACCTTCTTTGACAGTATCTGGACAAACTGTTTCATCATTAGTTTAGGAATACATGTGGACACATTATTTCTCAAAAAGCAAAGGCTTGCTTTTTTTGAGCTTGTTCTAATCAACAAGCAAACTCTACAGACACATAATTTGTGTTTGCAATGAAGTACTATCTTTTTTTTTACTTCAGAAAACTGCATCTCTACAAGTCTTGCCTGGATGAGATTTTTGCATTTTAGTCTCACTTGACCTGCAAAAACACTATCATCTTATGGACACTGGAAGATGACTTTAAAGAGGACAAAAGAAATGTCACAGGCCCATTAGAAGAGAAACTAAACTAAAACAAAAAAAAAAAAAAGAAAAAGAAAGGTATAAGTAAACACATAAACTGGGTACGCTGGCTGTTTCCAACACATCGTATGGGACAGACAATTTACTAAGATAACAACTAACCAGGTTACAGACAAGAACATCCAATCTAAACACCAAAGGAGGGAGGTCCTAGTGCTGTCTCTGAAGCTACAAATACTGCCATGCTGTTTTGAGCTTACACAGACATAACTGTGCAAGAATCCCTTTCAAATTAACAAATTACTATTTTTTAATTCTTCAACAGTGACAACACAAGTAGTAATACTTAGGTGAAGTCTGTATAAATGATTCTTGGGTTTTTTCTTTTCACGGTATAGAGGTAAAAGGATAAAACAGTCAGCATTTTCTCAATCTTATGCACTTAAAAAACCAGTAATTGTATCCATACTTTGGAACTAATATCCCAAATTATCAGCGGTTTAAAACTATTTTCCATTAATGTAGAGATTAATATAGAAACCTTACTTCCTGCACTTCTTTTTTTAAGGTCACAGCAGGAAAATCCACCTTAGAAGCTTCTATAACCATTTTGTTTTCTAAGAGATAGCTGGAAAACAAAAGGGGATAGGGAAAAAAGCCACAAGAAGAACAGTTAAAAGCCGCACACTTGCATTCATTGTTTAGACAGATTATTTAAGACAATTTTAAAGCATATACAAATTTGTTGCCAAAAGTAATCAATAATTAAGAAAATATGAAAAGCATAACAATAAACATAACATAGTTTTACTTTGAGATCTTAAGATCCTCTCATTACCAGCTATAAGTAATGAAGTTTCTATAGTCAAGCCCTCAACCTATCATGGAACTACTTTGATACCTTACATTAGCTAAGCAAACCTGGAACAGAAGGAGATTTCAGCATTGCACTCAACTAAATTTAAACCCTTACATTACATGAGGACACTCAAGAGGTGGAAGGCAAATCAACACAAACAACTTAGACATCCAGGATGTTAAAATCTCACACCAATGTGCTCAGACAAAAGTAAAGCCGTTTTTGTTAGCTGTTGGCCAGTTGTACAGTAAATTACAAATCCTGTGAAATCCCTGACTGTAGGAATACAATGTAATAATAATAATAATAATAATGTACTCACCAGAGGATTCTGTCCTTGAAGAAACAGAACAAGCCTCGGAGATGCGCCATGTCGCTGGCGGCAGAATGAAGGATGAAGCCCACAGACAAGCCACATGACCGACAGGACAATGCATTGTAAGCACTAGAAGAAGAAAGGGAAAAATATTTTAAAACAGAAACCACAGATACTACATGCCTGTCAGACAACATCAAATCTTCTATTAGGACAAAAAACCAAGACATAATAATGCTTTCTCATTAAAAAAATAATAGATACAGAAAGAACGTGAACATAAGAAGTTGGGCATGTTGTGCTCATGTTGTGCTCTTTACTAAGTGAAGTTGCAATTACGGAAGAAAATACACGTCTTATTATCACAGAGTGGTTTAGGCTATACTACTCAAAGAGGATTTAACCGATAAAACAACACACATACCAGGTCACAGATGTGAAATTTCCTCTTGATAAAACAATTATTGCTTCATACAGAGAGAGGGGGCGGGAAAAATAGACAAAAAAATAGCAAGTTTTATATTTAAAAAGTTCCCAGTCCTATAGTTTGTAAAGCAGCCTTTAAACATTGCTCAAATGCTCCTCTTCACTACAAAGGTTAGACCAGTAAAACTTTTGATTTTGACAGAAGCGAAAGCTACATCCCTGCAAAAGGTTTCTCCATCCGAAGCGGTGAAGCAAAGGTAGAACAAGGACTTGGGAGTTTCCTAAGCCCCTCAGAACCCTTCGTGCAGGAGCCGGAGGAGCCCCCGGCTCCCAGCCCTGGCAGAGCCGGCTTTGCCCGCCCGATTTCCCGCGGCGGCGCGATGCCAAGAGCAAGGACATGGGCGAGCTACGCACCATCCCAGGAGCGGTTCCTCGAGGCCGATCAAGATCGAATCCTCCCAGATCACATCACTGGTGACTTCTGCGGAGAGAGAGACGCGCTGCAGGCGAGAGCTCCCGGCCCAACCTCAGCCCGGCCCGAGACCCGCCCGGGGCAGCGGCGCGTCCTCCCGCCCCGCGGCCCCGGGGACAGCGGCAGCGCGGGCTCGCCACCCCCGTCCCCGAGGAGGCACTGACTGAAGCAGGCGAGGAAGCCGAGCCGCGGCTCCTCCGGCGCGCACAGCTGCAGCGAGTCCCCCAGCACCGTCCAGCAGCCGCGGCAGTGGAACACGGCGCACAGCTCCGGCAGCGGACCCTGTCGCCGCGGCGGCGACGCCGGCTCCGCGGCCGGCGGCAAGGAGGACGGCGGTGACGGCGGCATCCGGGCGGCAGCGGCGGGGGAGGATGCCCGCTCCAGCACGATGGTCCCGACGGGCTGCTGGTCCTGGAACAGCTCCCGGTCCTGGAACAGCTCCCACAGCTGCCGCCGCACCGCCATCTCCTCCCGCCGCGCGCTCGAGCGCGGCGCCCGCCCTCCGAGCCCGGCGATTGGATCGCGCTTTACGGGTCTGAGCTGCCACTGGTCAGCGGGCGCGTCAATCCTAGCCGCCCGAGGCTATTGGGCAGCGAGCCGCACCGGGCCACGCCTCCCCAGCCGGGAACGCCCCAGCGCGCTTGAAAATAAGCACGCGCGGCGGGACGCGCCGCCATTGGCGGTTTCCGCGCCCCGCCCCCCGTGGCGGGTCGCAGCCAATGGGCTGGCGCGGCGGGCAGTTCGAACGGCGGGCGCGGCGGGCGCAGCGTCGGTTGGGCGCGCGGCACGAGCCGGGGTGCCACCGCCATGCCACTCGCCTCGTCCCGCTCCCTGGAGGCGCTGAAATACGCCGAGCTCCAGCGCCTCGCCAAGGCCGCCGGGCTGAGGGCCAACCTCCGTGTGAGCGGGGCGGCGGGGGGGAGCGGTGGCAGGGAGCAGAGCGAGAAGGGGTGGGGGGGAAGGTCCGGGCTATGAGGTTCCCCCTCCGCACGGCCGTGAGCCCGGGGCAGCGGGTGTCCCGCTGGGAAGGCGCCCGTCCGTCCCCGCGGGCGGTGCTCTCGGTCTGGGGCCGCAGCCGCCCTCCCCTCCCGGCGCTGGAGTCCCGCGCGGTGCGTCCCGAGAGGCGCGGCCGGGCCGTGCGCTCCCGTGGGGGCTCGGGCAGGGGCGGCGCGGGGCTCCGGCCGTCTGGCGGCACCGAGGAGGGAAGGCTGCCCCCCTCTCCTGCCCCGGCCGCTGGTGGCCCCGCTGCCCCTCTCTCGCCGCTGTCCCCGCACTGTTTCCCCGCCTCCTCCCCCTCGGTGCGCGTAGGTGTGGTGGGTCGGGTGTTTTGTTTACGACTCGGAGTCGGAGGAGCAGTGAGAGAAGGGTGCCTTCGGCGAGGGGAGCGGGTGTGCGCGTTTACCAGCCGCGCTTAAGGAAGAGAAGTTTCAGCTCTCCCCGATATCCTGCCTGGTGTAGCTGTGGCACGGCCTGGCCTCTCGTGGTAGGCGCTGCCAGCAGCGGGAGAAGTCACAAAACCTTGAAGAAAATCCACCGCTTCGGTGGAAAAGGGAATTGGTTGTCCTGACCTGACTAAGATTTTTTCCTGGAGTTTTAGTTTTTGGAGTATTTTGCTCTTAAACTCCTAGTTCGGGTTTGATTTTATGCTGATCTTTCCAATTAGGTCTTACGAGTCTCTCGTAGCCTGAATTATCGGTGGCGTGGTTTTGTTGTTATTTTGTTGCTGTAGCTGCTGAATGTATGCAAGGGACGAAAGCTGCTTTGCGTGTAGTATGGACAAGACAGAACTAACTGCAGAAATTTAATATGATTTTAATTCATGTTCAGCTGTGCAGTGTTGGTTAAAACAATCTGTCTCATTCATCCTTGAACAATTAACCTGAAAAACAGACAGACCGAAAGAAACCTAGTCTGAGAAATTTGCCTTTGTGCCTCCATGGAGGGTACGCTATGTACTTATCTGCGGCCCTAAGCACTTTCCCTAATTTACCTTGAAGGAAGACCTAGGCACCTTATTCCATCATATTCAGGGAATTTTCAGCTTGTTTGTTTGATCAATTTATAGGACACTCGTTACGTTTATGCAGATTTTTGTTGGATGACTTAATGGACTATTTGGTTCATAAATTGCTTTGATTTCCCTCCAGGCAGACAAACTGTTGGAATTATTGAAGCAACACTTTCAAGAAACAGAACAAGAAAATATGGTAATAGATGATAAATCAACTATTGTTTTTAAGAGATATAAACTTAAATTTGTGACCAGCAGGATGGGGTGTGTGATAGAGGGTGGTTTTGACCATGAACTATAATAGAAATACCTTTTTCTTTAGTGCCTGTAGCTTAATGTACCCATATGCTGATAGAAATAGGTATGCTAATGTTAGTTTTGAAGTGGCCTCTCATATGACCCAAAACTGTTTTCCTTTCAGCTGCAAAAATTAACAGTGTGTTTTTCAGCATTAGTAAAAAGTTAGTCTCTGTAAAGACTAACACCTAATTTTCATTGAACAAATCTTAATTCTTGTCTGTTTAGCTCCAGACAATAGTTCCTACCAAATGTAAAAATATTTTATTTATTTTGCATGTCTAGATAGTAATTGGAAAACATTTTGTATCTACTAAGATTTACTTACACTAACACTATAATGAAAGTGATACAGTTGCGCTATTTCCTTTATTCATTTCTTAAGCTATTATTTTCTTAATTTTTTTAAAAGTTTTCTCTAAGTGGAATTATTTTGTTGGGTGTGGTGATGTTTTTTGGTTTTGATTAAAAAAAAAAGTGGTGTCTGCTTTTTCTAAAATGTATCTCCTTTGAAGTGCTTCCTTTCAAAAACCTTTAAAGATTTGAAGGAGCGCTGTAATCCTTGTCAGCTTTTTAAAATTTTTTTTGGTGAAGAGTATTCCACAAACGTACAAATCTGGGAGGGTTGCGGCATTATGCAAGTTAGATTTCAAATATGAAATATTAGGCTTTTATAATATTAAAATACAATATAATAAAACAATCATAGAATTTATTTTGAGAGTACTCAAACAGTGAGCTTTGATGTTTAGGGAAATCTAGATACTGCCAGTTTGGTGATTACTATGCTGCTAAATGGCATGCTTCCTACTGTTTTTCCTCTGTGTGAAATACTTTTTCCATTAATAAAATTCAAACTGTCCCTGGAGTATCTAATTCATGTTTGTGTCAGGTATCTACCACATTATAGTGTTTTTCTACTACAGGATCCTGAAAAGAGTGCATCTGCTTCCATTGAATTGGATGAACTGAGCAATCAGGAGGAAATTACGCCTGATTCAGTGCGTTTTATTACAAAAAGATGTGGCAAAGAAAAGAAAATAACCAGAAAAAAGAGGAACTCCCATGAGGAAACTATTACCAGTGAAGAAAACCCAGTGCTTTCTGATGAGAAAGAGGTGATATGCATTGATTGGTTTTGTGTCTCCCCTTCCTCTGAGTGTAATTTAAACATATTTGATTTCTTTTTACCACCATTTATAGATGGTTTACACTTGTGTGTGTGTGTGTATATACATATAAGAATTACATATGTAGTGTTCTGGTATTGGACATTCTAGCACTGACTTTCCTCTATCTTAACTATGTGCTATTCCATAATAAACAGACATTACTTGCTAGTCATTGCTTCAAGGAAATAAATTCCTCTTAAGAAATATACAATACCAAGCACTTTATCTGAGTGTAAGAGTGCTCTCACCTACTTCATGATAGTATTCTGAATATTAAGCTAGTGCCAAAATTTATCTAAAACAAGGCTGTTCTCACTTTTTTAATACAGAAAAAAATTATCAGAAGTTGTACCATTGCCTAAACTTCACAATTTTTTTTATTGTGAGTGTTGTATGACTGAGGGAGAGGAAGTTTCAAGGTGAGATGGACGTAGAATTCTTTTTCTCTAGAGCTACAATGAGTGGGTAAACTAAGAACTGTCTGAAAGACTTTTACTGACCTAAGAAGGGAAATGAGGAGATGAGAAGAGTTAGAAAATTGTACAGTAACCAAAGCTCCAACAGTGAAAAGTAACATCCTCAGTGAATTTATTTTTACTTGCAAATAATTAACTTTTGTCAATAAAGGCAATTTTATACTAAAATGTTAGAGCTGTGCAGGTGAAAGCTTTCTAATATATCTGTTTGTGAAGTAACAGGGTAAGTATTTCACAGGTTAATTCAGGTTGGACTTCAGAAAATCTCAATCTCCCAACCAAAGCAGACTCAACTGTAAGGTTAGACCACAGTGCTTGGGGCTTTATCTAACCTCATATTGAAAACCCCTGATGATGGAGGTTATGCATCTCCCTGGGCAACATGTTCCACTGATTCACTGTTCTCAGAAAAACAGCCTTTCTCTGGAACAGAAAGGAACAAACAATTGGAAGAAATAGTTTAAAATGAAGTATGTTTAAATTGCAGGTGCATTCTGAAACGAAAGAAAACGAAGTGCCTCAGGATGAGCAGGGACAGAAGGTTCTCCAAAACAAGAAACAAGTAACCAAAAAGAGAGCTATTGAGAATGCAGGGATGGGTAGTGGTCAGAAGAAACAAACAGAGAAGACGTCTGTTAAAATCCAGGGAAATGAATGTAAGTAGGAAATGAAAAAAAGCAACTTTAATAATTTTTACTTCTTAAAATAATCAAGAAGTAAATTTAATTTTGTTGTGAAGATTTCTGTGGCATGTCTGATGATTAGTACTTTATTTGGGGATACCAGAAGGAAATCTGTCTGTTTTTTCTTTTAACATATTGTTACACAAATCCATAAATTCTGCACTGTAGCAGTTTTGCTGGCTTTGACTTCAGAACTCTGGACATGATGTTTTTAGTGAAGGAGTTCTCAAAAATCTGAGTATGTTTGAGCCTTGCACTTCCAAAAGGATCAGTGCCTTTTGGAATATCCCTGAGGTTGTTACTTGGCTTCTTTAACACGTGGCAAGGAAAGGAGAACTTTCTTCCTAAGGCTTCATTATCTTTTCCTACAGATGAATAGGCTTATCTTTTTTTTCCCAGGAGTAAAATTAGTAGAAAAGGACATACAGACAGAATCCTTTATAATTTGTTTGAACTACCTAATAGTATCTGTATTCCAGTGCATAATTTTTCCATACGGTTGTTTTTTTTAGCTCTTGCAACATGATACCACTGCAAATATTAATTTATCCCCCACTCCTTTGTGTATGCAGCTGACAGGAAGAAATGAGTTTTTCTAATCAATCTGATAATTCATTTGTGTTGTGAATTTCTCAAGTAAGATATATACCTTCATTTGCTCTGGTTAGGCTATGTGTATGTAGTCTGTAAACTGGACTATGGGTATTCTTGCTATTCAGTAGAATTTACAAGGACTGTCTTATGGGAGACCACCTATAATTTTGAAAGTAGCTTAGTAGGATTTCCAGTGAAGGTTATTTATAAAACAGAAGCAATAGAGTATTGT